TCCCAGCCAGCCCCTGGCTCTGCCAGATCTGCGGCCGGCTCGGTGAGCTGAGCCAGGGCACCGGACAGGGAGCAGGGCCCATGGTCCCCTTTCTGGGCCAGCCACTGCACGAACCCCCCAGCACCCTTCTGCAAGATGCGGTCTGCTTCCCGGCCCTCCTGCAACGTGCACGAGCCCTGGGATCCAACCGCTTCGGCCTACTTCAGAGGATCTTCCCACCCCAGGGATGAAGGAGGCTTCTGGGAAGCTGTGCCTGCTGGGGGAAGTGGCACTTGGCTGTTGTCCCCAGGGTACAGCTGCCTCCCCAGCTGCTTTGTCCCCTTCAGGCGGGAACGTACTGCCCTGGCTCCCGTCTCCGCAGCCCTGCCTGGCTGGCCCCCCGCCTTCCACTCTGGCACCGCGCCAAGGACTAATTAGCTGAATTTGTGGACAACTGAGACTGCTACGCACCCCCTCTCCAGCTGGCTGCTTGTGCGTGTGCACGTGGGCATGCGTGCCCACACCTGCAGGCATGTATTGCACACATGGCCTGTCTGCCTTTGCAGCTCTGCTGGTGTCCAGGTTTCCGTGCGTGCTGCCCTGTCTCCCTGGCAGTCCAGCATCTCCACGCCCCGGGGCCTGCCTCTCCCTGCCGCTGCCCTTCCCGGGTAACCCAGCAAGTCTCCAAGCCCGTTTCCCTGGCTGTGAAACCAAATCTGCCTCCTGGCACAAGGGCCGAGATGCTGATGCATGCCTCAGCTTTCATGCCCTTTTGCTGTCAGGAATCGCTCCCGGGCACAATGAGGCAAGGTGAATACAGAGCAAGCCCGGGAGGTCCCCTCCATCCTCCAAGCAGCTGCTGGTGCCCGAGAGGGCGGCTCAGCCCCGAGACGGGCTGCAAGGATATTGCCGCTGCAGAGAGCGGGTGCAGGAGTCAGGGAAGGAGGAAGGAGGGCAGGGGAGCCAGTGGCTCCTGATGCTTCGGAAATGGCCTGGGCACGAGGGAGCCCCGACCTCTGCCCTCTTTCCTGGTGGGCAATC